TTGTTATATTTCATTAAATTATTCCCTGTATAATAAACCAAAACCCATTTGGTCAGTAATTTGCTAATAAAAATATACCAGTTTTTAATATAGCAAGAGCAACCTAACATCCTCTTTTGTGTTATCTTCTTCTGTGTGATGAGTACATTAAATATATTAAACATTTTCAGGACAAGCTATAAACTCTTGACAATAATTACGTTAAAAGCACTAACAGAATTTATGCATTAATGACCTAGCAGCCATCTTATGTCCCAGGAACTGATAGCTGGAACTTTGTGAGCTGAGGTTTTGGATGCTGAGGACCAACAACACATTCTCCTGACAAGACTCTCCTGACATTGCTTTCAAAAAAGAAAGGTCACACATATTATACAAAAAACTTAAATACGAACCTGAACTTTTGCATTTTATGTTTATAGGTGCTTCATCCGAATGGTCTGGGCAGTCAAAATCACCGTCACATTGCCACTGGGAATTTAACAGGCACCTTCCATCAGCACAAGTGAACTCTCCAGGCCGACAGTGCCGATACCCTAGAAATACAGCAATCGAGGACTTCATACTTTTGACATAGAATTTTGCACATACAATGAACTCAGCTGTTGAACTTGCGACAGAAGGTCCACATAACACTGCTCTCTCTGTGTCTGTGTGTCCAGAACTTTTTGGGACTACTTAAAAAATGGTGTTAAAAAACACCTAAGAATTTGCAACACTTTGCAAACCTTTTTTCAACACTTTGCAGGTGTGATTTATCTATTGAGTTGCTGCTATTGACACTGAATGCATAGTTCACTGATTTCCAATTAGTTATCTGTCATTAATAAATCAATAACCTGCTTAAATCCTGATTTGGTTTAAATGGCATACACTTTTTAATTTAATTTTTTTCCCTCTCAGTTCATTTGCTTCAACACTTCTCCACGTGAGCCTAAAGACAGCAAGTGGGGGTGAGTGGGAGACTGCCTTTAAAGATGCTCTCCTGAGCTGACCTATCTCATATGTTTACATGGCAGGAATGGCTGTTGCCTCTCAAGTACCAGCCTACTTCTGGTGAATATAGACAGAAAAAGGTCAATTTGGTAACTGCCCAATTCCAACAGGAACAGATTTCCTCCACGTCTTATACAGTTCTAAGTGATGTTGGTGAAATCTGTTCTTTATATGACCAGCAAACAAACAAGCTCTTATTTGCTGCCTTATATTGTTCCCCTACATTGTTCCATTACATGTTTGACTGAAACTTTACACGAAAAATTTTACTAAATGCAAACGCCAAACATGCTTTTTCTTACCATCTTTGGCTGTCTGCTCAAATAATTTATGCACGTACACTCTTCAGGTGGTGTGTACTATAGAACTGCCTAAAATACATAGCTAGCTGTCTTCTGCGGTGGTTCTCATCTCTTGAGCACATTTAATAAAGTAAATAATCAATATAGATTTTAACTACACAAAACCAGACACGATAATCAATAACTTGCCTTTTTGGAGGGAATATGTGCTATTTTCCTTCAATATTATTTAGGTAGATGGATGCTTCTGAGTATGGTCTAGATATACTGTACAGACATTCACATAAGAAACCCTAAATTTATATGAATGATGAAAATCAAACATTCACATATGGCTTTAGTTGGTATCACTTAACTGCAGTGATAATCATGACAGAGATGTTTCATTACTTGATAGAAAAAACATGTATAGAGACAAAGATATATAAAAGAGTTATACACAATGAACAAGAAATTATAGACTGTGCATATTAAAATTCTGTTAAATGTTATCAGCCATCAACTGTATGTCACAACTACAATAAATAATTTGTCATTGTAGCTCCAGCACCATGTTAAATACCAAGTTGTATTCATTAATGTATAATTTAAAAGTTAACATAAAAAAAATTCAAAAAGCAAAGAGTTTAGTTTTTCAATAGTGACTTAAAGTAACAGACCTTGCAGTAGGCCTTAAAATTAACAGTCTGAAATTTTTCTCTTTACTCTACTTTTGTTGTACTTGCCACATTCCAGAGATTCATCTGATCCATCTCCACAGTCATCATCATGGTCACATACAAACTGCTTGGGAATGCAGACTTTGTTATGGCACATGAAAGCATTCTCGTCACATGTATTATTAGGAGCTAAAGGAAACACAGTACATAAAATTAAATGACATTGAGAACAGTAAGATAAACAGCCATTTTCTTAGAGAAAGATGACATGAGAAGCAGTTAATCTGAGCCAATTCAATGGAAATAACTATAACTTTTGAGTTATACAAAAAGCACCATTTAAAGAGTAGAAAAAGCTAATCATCACCACAAAGATAGCTAAAGAAGTAAGGATAGCTAAAATCAATTGTAATTGGCTTCAGACGGCTTCAGAAGTTGACAATGTCTGCAACTAACTGTGGCCGATGCACCTACCCTGCTAAAGACCTGAGAAAGACCCCACAAAAGCAATGCCAAAGTTTGTGGCCCTGGTGGCACCAGGTCACCCCCCCATCACGGCTCCTGTCTGGTCCACATGGTGGACATCAAAGGCAGGAAAGTTGGGGTCCTCAGCCAACAGGGGGCTGACATGACCGTATTTTGACCACAGATCAGATTCAACTAGAGTATAAACGGGGCCCTGTGGGAGGCTGTATTTGAGTTGATCCTCCTTGGAGCAGCGGGTCTATGGTTGGAAACTCTCCCCTTGAATTGGGATGCCACTTAAGGTAACTTTGAGATTGAGGGCCCTCCCTTTTTAGGTGAGTGAATTCTTAACACAGCTGTGTGTGGTAATATTCCCAACCAGCATATCAAAACTGTGTTTGTTAAATGTCAGTGGAACGTTGTTTTGGTGAATGAGGTTTTGGCTGCTTGATTTCAGTTGCAGATTAAAAGCTTGTTTGAGCTCATTACTCGTGTGTGTATCCATTTTGGTCCCAAGGTCTGCCTCTGATGAAGAAACATTTGGAAGTAGAAGGGCCTCTCGTATCTTACTTTACTCCTCTTTAAAATCTGTAAATATTCGAAATATAACTCAGCCTAGAAATGGTAAGTGACAAGAATATGGCTTCAGTGAAGAGATCATATTTCAATTTTTTTAACCTATACCATTCCTATAGACATTCATAAAAACAAAAACCCTAGTGAAACTACTACTGAACTCTTTTAATAGAAACGTATCTCATGAGACTGAAAGTAATAGTTTACAGGGCAAGAGTTGTCAAGATCTGAACAACTAGCCAGAATAAATTAGAGACAGAACTGTATCTCCCTTTTTGACGCATAACCTCCTTGACATGCAACAGCATTTTCTTCAGGAATAGACTAAAAAGGCACAGTCAATAATGTGTTATTTTTCATTAGTAAACATGTTGTATAATGTCTGTGAGGTGACACACATACTGATCATCAGCTGGTGTGTCTCAGTATATATTAACAAAACCTGAAGACATTAGGCTGATTAAAACATTGAAGGATCCCTGTATGTGTGCTCACATGTGGCCCATCAACCTTTACTAGCAATGTTGACAGAACAAGGATATGACACTATAGACACAAACAGAATCTGGATACTGTAAAGGCAAAAGTACCAAGAAAATTAATACTAAAATAATCCTAAATACATTTTTAACATGCAAACATACCACAGCCGGCCGTAGACAGTTCATCACTGCCGTTGGGACAGTCTCTTTCACCATCACAAAGCCAATGTTTGGGAACACAGGCATGGGAGCCTAAGCAACTGAATGTATCTGCTGCACAGGTCACTGAGCCTGAAAATACATTATATATGAGTCTTGAACATGTTCTAACTTGATTTTTTTTTAAGGCAATGGGTAATGAGTAAGGGGTTTTTATTTTAAAATAAAACTGAAAGAAGATTTTGTTCTGCATAGCATGATAAACAAACTGGCTGAGACTCTATTTTACAATAAAATTTAGACAATCTAGGATTTCTTCCATTCTTTCAATTTATTCAGACTCTTAATTTTCTGTAAGGAAATTTAATTTACCTGACTTCATGAAAACTATCCAACAGAATAACTCTTCAAACCAATTTTGGTCTTTATGTTTGACTGCATGTTTGGACTGACCGAACAAAGGAACTCATCTTGTAAACCACATAATCCTCACATCACTATTCTCTGTGCCAGGAAGCTAAAGGTATTAAAAACTTGCATGAGTCAGCCCCAGGTAGCAGAGAACAATGTGTACCAAGTACAATAGCAGTGGGAGTGAGAAAATGTCTGACAATTCTAATGCAAGTAACTCAACATTCTGTTTATTTGACTATTTTTCTTTGTAATAGGCTTTTCTCCAGATAAGAACATTATACTTGGGATGCATTTTACTCTGGAAGTAAATTTTTGCACAATTCATCACTTAATTTAGTCTCTTAAGTTAAATATAATTCACTAAAAAGAAGACTGTACTTTCTACTAATTTTAATTAGAAATTAATAAAATAGTAAAACAATAAAATAGTAAAAATTCAAAAATTTGTTTGTACTATTTATGCAATACAACTTTTGATTTCCTTGTATTAATTTGTCATTTTTTGATACTTCTGAAGTTAAACTTAATGTTATATAATTACTGCCTCTGTAAGATTGCAAAATCTGAATTCATCTTGATCTTTCTTTTCTTCTCGCAATTCAGATTTGCCTCCTGTTCCTAAGGAAAAATACAGCCTAAACATCCCCCTCTCCATAACTGGTGTGCATCTTTCCCTCTTCAAGAGATGACCAACAGTTTTATGGGTGGGCTTTCTTCTAATAAGTGATAAAAAAAGGTATGTTATAGTGACACTCTGCAATTTGCTGGCCTTTGTTTTCCCCTCCCCCCTTTTTTTTTTTTCTATTTCCTGCTCTAAGTTTCCTATTAAGCTACAGGCCTTGATGTTTCTTAGGGTTTCACAGTGTTCTATAATAGTCCCAGATGAGGTGCTTGCCTTCTCATTTTACACTTTCTCTTTTTCGTAGGGGAGAGATGCAGAGAAAAATCTTCCCTTTCAAAGACATTGCCTCCAACTCCCCAAGCCTCAGCCTAATGTGAATACCATGAAAAAATGTGTTGTAGATGGACGTCAACTTTAGGTTAATGTACTAATTCCTTCATATTCTGCTATATTAGAACATTAGAATTTCCACCTTCATCTTTTTCATTTGTTGCCATTTATACATCTATGTTTGATTAAGAAACTAATCAAAAAAATCCAAACTTTGAGCATAAGCTGAAGGTATTTCCTCTAACTACTTAAAACTTACAGTAAAGTTATGAACAATATTTTCGTTACAGTATTGCATATGAAATGTAAAATAAAAGTCTGTTGAATGGACTTTAAGCAAGAGGATTTTTGAAAAAGAACAAATATTTAAGAATTAAAAGTTAAATTTTTAAAAATAAAATCTTAAAACACAGCATAGGGAAACAGGGAATCAATGACAGCATTTGGAGATGCTGTACTTGTTCCCTTTCCAACACCTTCTTGGATCATTTTGTCTCTTTCAGTACGTATGATCTGACAATACAGAACTAAAACTACTCGACTTACCACAGATAGCATCACTCTCATCTAAACCATCCCCGCAGTCATCCTCACCATCACAGGTCCATTGCTTTGAGATGCATTTGTTCACAGAGCAAGCAAACTGATTCCATGAACAAGATGAATCTAGGAATGACACCAGTCACTGCATTCATTAGGTTTACACCAGCACTGTGTTTCTTGTATTTTCTAGCATAGTTCAGGAATCTCCAAACTGTGTCCCTTCTGTTCTCCCAATTTTAGTGTATTAAAACATTCAAATAGAGTATAATCCTAACATTGGTATTCAAGATTTCGCCTGCTCATGTGAATCTGCATTCACCAATGTGTTTATTAATTTATTTATTGAAATAAATAAATAAATAACAAAATATTCAAAACACATTCTAATATTATTAATCATTTCACTAGTGAGATGAAGAAAAACGCTTTAGAAACATATATCTGGTTTAAGTATTTCACGTAGATGTTGTAACTGTTCTGGTATTAGGACAGAGGCAGCATCTCCCAACACTTCCACTTGGTACTGCAGTATTTAATTGCATCTTTAAAAGATTTCATGTTCTTTTCTCACACAAAATATTGCTGTGTACTTGCATTCTGTTGCCTCATTTACACTTCTGTATAGATTGAAAATAATGGCATGCTTCTGCATTTCAAAGTCAGTCTGCACAACTGTTCTAAATAAGAGCTACTATTATGGCCTTTCCTGAAAACTTCAAATCTTCCACTTTTCCCAGACTTCTTTCAGAACAAAACTTATTTTAAGTGATGACAACAAATTTTAACATTAGCAATCAAAATCATTTTAGGTAATGCAGTCTGAATTTAAAGTAAGAATGTTGCTACAACTACCTCAAAATGAGTAAGAGCAATAAGTAGGGAAAAAGGAATTGAATTAACGCCCTTTCCTCTCTCCCAAAAGATCAGCTAATAGGTATTAAAATATTGCATATAAGTATTTATGTGTAATAAGACCTGGAAATGTAAACACTGAGGTACACTCAATGAACGTCATCAACACAAAACGTTCTGATTTCCATTCTGCATAGCAGTTCCTAAATTTGAAGTTATAATTTGTATATATACACTGTAAACTGCAAACCAAACATTTTGATTAAAAACTGGGTCATAAAGGGAGTAACATATAACTTTCAGACATGTTAAGTGGTAAAGCAGGAAAAAAGAAGGAACATAAAAATAACAGCTGTTATTAAAATAGGGAATAGGAAAACTTGGTTATGTTTTTGCTTTTCTGCTACAATTTAATTTTAAAAATAATCTTTTCAGTTTATCCATACAACTTTAAGTTAAGAGACCAGCTCTCACTATGAGCAAAACCAACCTGCATTGCTCCTCAATTAGGTAGAGTTTAAGACTCTTAGAAGACTTGAGACAGAATGGACCCTTAACCTGGTTCACAGTTTTTACTGTATTTTATTCACTTCACTTCTGTTGTTTAAATAACTACATCTGCATGGCCTCTGATGCAAAGAAATGTCTATTTTTATGTTACAACAGTCTATTTTGGTTACTTCCCGTTGAGGTCATAAGATACTGAAATGAAGAGATGATATCTGTAAAACTGACCTAATCAGGAATTACGAAGAACTATGAAATAGTTAAATAGTAAAGCAATAGAAAAATATGTATATAAACATATCTTTAGGAGAAAAAAAATTAACAGGGTTTTCATTCTGGTATGAGATAGGGTTTAAAATATTGGCAGCATTAAGCAACAGAGAGTTGAATCTGAAGATGTGGTATTAAAGGTCTTTTCATATAGCTCTTGATTAAATCTCTGAGATATAAATTCACACTCCTTTCAGTTTTCAAAGTACATTAGTGATTACAGAGATACAAATAAGATAAAATGCTCACCACAGTGCAATTCATCTACTCCATCCTCACAGTCTTTCTGCCCATCGCAAAGCCAGGTGGTCAGAATACATCTTCCACTAGGACAACCAAAATAATTTTCTTCACATGTGGGTTTGTTTTGAACTGTGATAAAATAAAGAATGTAATGTAAAATGGTCTCTACTAGTATGATTAGGAGCCTAATACATTTCTGCTAAATTTCTGAATACTAATGGACAACAAAGTGTTCACTTCTGAAAAAAAAAAAGGCAAACCAAAAAAATACTATTTATATTATTTGTGTTCATACAAATTAGATAATATCGATAGCTAAGCAGTTTAGGGAGCTGAAATACTTCATTTATTTAGAGGAATCAGAGCACAGCTTCAAACTACATTAAAAAGACCTATAGAGTGAAGTAGTTCAGTTGCAGGCCTTGAGCTCAGGTAGATAAACTTTGCTGCTTGTTTTACACCAGCTGAAGAAATTGCCCTTCTGATCTATCTGCCACCATCTACAGGATAACGTCATTGTGGCAGGGCTTTTGTCACATTCACTGGGATAAGCTACAGATCTAACGCATGCACTGACTGGAGCTCTACCACTGATGCTGGAGCCAGAGATTTAGACTTGGTCACAAATGAGCAAGTTGTTCTTCCTCACCTTTTTGCTTTCTCGAGCGGGAAAGTTATTTAAGATTTTACTTTTATGAATGCTTAGAAAACAGATGTGAGGAAAGAGAAAACACCATATATTTAGCTTCATGATGTAAGCACAAATATTCGTCTACTGAGCGGTACAAGTTATTTTCTAAATCTCAGGCAAGGTCTTTGCCTGGGAAAACCCAAGCCATATACACTAGAGCCAAGCATTGGAGATCACTGGCGCTCTCTACCAAGGTTGCTATTACTCCTTAAATGTACTGGGGCTATTCACACTGGTTTTGTTTCTTCCCCTCTCTCTCCCTCTCTCTTAAAAAGAAAGATAAAGTTATCATATTTATGGCTGCTACAGCTGTATGAATAGGAAAAAAAAAGAAAAGTGGGATGTCTATGGTGACTGGGAAGATATTAAAGATTGTTTAAGTATAGCCACACCTAAATTAATATTCTGCTTTAATTTTCTGTAAGAACAATAACACTGAACAAAGACTGTTAATGGAAATTATCATATTCATAACATAAACAACACTTAAAAACTTAATGTGCCAAAGTTTGTCAGTTTTGAATGAAATGGCAAAGGAAATCGCATGTCGGTTGAAGTGGAATGGTATTGCTTCCAAGTAAAGGGAGGAATGATCCAGGCTATTAGTCACACATTAACATGATGGAACCTTTTGGCACACATTTGAAAGACAGAATAAAGTAATACAAATAAATGGACTATAAAATAAAATGCAACATTAGTTTACTTCTGCAACATTAGTTTACTGAAGCTATAGCATACTGCCCGCAAAATCTTTCTGGACTGAAAAAAACCCTATAGAAACAAAGGAAATACAGTAAACTAAAGCTATTTTGAGCCCAGTGAAGAATTAGATACAGCAAATTCTAATAAAAAATAAAATGGAGAATTTGAAGATTATGAAAACTGTAATTTCATATGCATCTGGCTTATAGGGGGGATGAAAAGTTGTTAATGTGAGGTTGATCGATGTTAGTGCTGACATTCTAGGTTCCTCCTGGATACTGGTAATTTCATCAATAAAGCTGGCACAAAATATATGAGACTTCTAAGAGAAGCTTTCGTTGATACAATGGGCTTAGCCCACAGAAAACTAGACTATTAAATTGGAATAATCAGATGATTATGATTATCACACAGACAGAGATCCCTGTCTTGAAAGTAGGAATTCTAAAATGCATTCGCTTATTTGCCATTGCAAGTAAAGAGTAAGGATATGATTACTGAAGGACTGTAACATCCTTCTCAGCATAACTACAGCTATAAACTGGAATACATGTAGACTAGAAATCAAGAGTGAATGAGGTTCTGGAAGATGATAGTAATAGGAATACTATGAGTAAAAAATACCACTAATTTTTAATGATTATGAGATAATAAGCATTTTTCAAGACTGCAGAAGAGACTTGCACAAAAGCACTATACTCCTGCATGAGAGATCTTTCCCTCCAGTGCTACTACATAGGCCCAGAGAGCAAAACTATTTAAATATTAAAAACTTCACGCTATCTTCTGAAGTTCATTAACACTTAATACAGTCATTCTGTTAACAATTGAATAAAAGTCTCTCAAAAGTAGAGGCTTTCCTTCAAATTTATATATGCGCATATCTTGAAAACATATGCTTCTAATATATTAGTATTCTATTCTACCTTCTCATGAAAAACCAACAGACTTTAAAATGTCAAGTAATTTTACTTCTTGTTTCTTCTATGTAAGATATTTATCTCAGTTACTGTTATTGGTTCTTTGCCCATCTGTATTTTAATAAATTTTTCATGTGATTCATTTTCCAAGACACTGTGTTTATGATTTTTATTTTTTTCCTACATGTCATAAAGGTGTAATGTTTTTCCCACAGAAGCACAGGAAAAAAGCCGGAGAAAATCTCTGGCTGTAGATACCTCTTCCTTTTCTGGAATCCTGCAATCTCAGCCCTGGGACTGGGGCTCAAGTGTATCATGAGCTCTTTGTACCGGCTGAAGAGCAGAATAATCATAAATGCAATAACACTGGATACTACTCTGGCAGCCTACCCCAAGTACATCATCAAAATAAAAGAGAAAGTTTAAAAAGTAAACAAGAAAAGAAATACCATCCGCTAAAGTTAGGAGCTAATGAGAGTTCCTGAGTGACTGTGCTGAAGCTTGATGAGCTCAACATTTCAATGAATGAGGTTTTACCTAAATAAAAATGATTAATGACAGACATAACCTTGAGGAAATAAAAAGCCAGACATTACAGTTTTCTTCAGAGAAATGCGTTAATTGGTAGTAATTTGCATAATTTAATGAAAGATAAAATAACGATTGGTGAAAAAAACCTGCATTCGGTGTTATATAAAATAATAATATAATAAATCAACATTGACTGAATAAATATCTTGCAGCACAATTAGAAAAAAGACCCAAAAGTACCAGAATACATTTTTTGACAATCAATTTCTTATCTTTTTTTCCTTTTTCACAGTTACCTGGGCATTTTAGTTCGTCTGTATAATCTCCACAGTCATTAGATCCATCACAGATCCATTCTGGCAGTATACAAAGCGAAGTCGAATTACAGCTAATAAATCCTGAAGATTTTATTCCAAGCTTATAGAAGTAAGCACAGTTTGTATTATCTGGAAAGAGACAGTAAATCACTATAGCACATGTAGTACAGATCGAGAGCCTTACATTTTGGTTTTCAGGTTTAACTTGAGTTTGCACACACCATGCAGCTGCTGGTACCCAACTAGTAACGACTACGAATTAACCACCATACGAGAAGGAATAATCGTGGAACAGATGCTGTGATGAAGCACAAACATGAACTTACTACAGTTCTTTTCATCTGAAGCATCTGCACAATCAATGATCTGGTTGCACTGTGCTGATTTTCCAATGCAATTCCCATCTGCACAATGGAATTCCGTCGAGGCACACGTTGAATCTATAACATATGGTTACAAAAGATGTAAATTTGTGTACTAAAAAGACTCTTTAGATGCATATTATATGTATTGTGTTTAAACCTTCTACCTTTTAGGATGAGGCATTCAGAACACACTGTGCCTTCCATAGCTAACACTTCAGTAGAAATACAAGGCCTAATAAACTTTAAGTTCCTGATTTTTACATTTATTTTTTGAGCTTCAGGTCTCTCTCTGGATAATTCAACTCAATTTGAGATAATCACCATGTGAGGAAGAAAGAAGCACTTTCAGGACGATCTATGAATCTCTAAAATTTCTACCTGCTTCAAAGAAGAAACGGTGCAGCACATGCAGAGAAGAAATCACACATTTTTCAACCCTTCTGTCTATAGTAAAGTTATTCTCATTGATTACTTCACAAAAAAAAGCAACAACTGTATTTCCTGAGCTTTCCATAGCCAAAATCACTCTCCTTCTAGAGGACTGTAGGTGTAAACCAGGTGTATAGGTCTTTATATCATTCCCAATGTACACTTTCCCAAGTGTCTTTTTGGTTTTGAATCCCAGTAAAGCAAATCCCAGCACTCAACTCCAATAAAGTCATGGGCATTTTCTAGCTACTTCTATTGACGTACTAAGTACTTACAGAGAAATATTCTGAAATCACCTTGGAAGTAACTCTCATTTACCTTTGCAGTCAAATTCATCAGAGTTGTCACCACAGTCATTTATACCATCACATACTTTGTCACTTGAAACACAGCGACGATTAGAACATGGTTTGAAACCCTTCCGACAGCCTCTATTTTCTGGAAAGTTAAGTAGAAGCACATTTCATTTAGACACTCGATACATAATAAAAATAGCCTTACATTAACAACAAGCATTCCAGAAAAATATTTTAACTTAAAATGCATTTGGAGACACAGGAAAAACTTCAGAAACTCTTCATTTATTGTCCGGCAGAACTTGTACTGATAAATAGATAAAGAATAATAAGTGAAACGTGACAATGTTTCCATATAGCATCAGTAATTCTATCATATAGAATGAAACATACCAAATTTGCCCTAAACTAAATTAAGAATAAATGGAGAATAAAATAACAAAATATTATAGCAGAAAGGTTTCTGGATTTCTCAGTATCAAAACTGCAAGTGTTCTGTTCGAGTAGGCACACTACTGAAGAAAGTTTTTTACATACATTGATGTTTGAAAATTCAGGAATTATTTACTAAAGCCATAACCATTGCAGAAGTCATGACACAATAATAAATAAATAATGTTTATTGGATTAGTTAATCAATGGGACCAGCATTCTGTTCTTTATCAGATTCAGAAACCAACACACTGTATATGACCTGGTGCATCACAGTTCTTCTTGCTTTTTCCAATTTGTAGCAAGAAGTTCAGTGTGACTGATTTAAATCAGGCGAAGTGTACACTGTGACACTACAAATTAATATAATGTCCTTCATAAAATCACATGGCAGACTCATGGAATAACTAATTGTTGGATCTTTCATTTATATCTTATCACTATTGTAGAATAAAGGATAAACTAATAATAATAATTTTAGCTGCTCAGTAAACCTCAATTCCATAATGACATATAAGACAACTTGTCTGGAATTACAACAAAGAGTATTTTGAGGTTCCTCACCAGCTACAACTTTCTTATTTATTCCCACATGACTTTCTGTTCCTTCAGCCTACTCTCCCCTCTCCTCATAAAGTAAAAAAACCCTATGAAATCTTAATCTTTCTTCCATGAACTGTGAACAAAAGTGAAAGAAATAAAGCTGTATTTATTAAGGGCTAAAATTAATAGTAGAGCCAAAGAGGTTTAATCTATATAAAAATACAGTTGACTGGGTTTATTGGTGGTGGTGGTGCTACAGTTTAGGTTTTTGTTTGTTTGGTATTGGTGGTTGTTGTTGTTGTTTTTTTTAAACAATACTTCTTATCTCTCAGCAAGATGCATACATAAATACAAATATATCAACACGTTTAGTAAGAAAATCCAAGAGAGAATTCACAGGCATATGGCATTTACTTCTCAGTGATTTGAAGCTGTCACTTGTAATTCAAGGGCCTTCCCTCCGGTAACTGAAAGTGTCTTTTATATTCCAGATTCTTATTTTCTTGTCTGATGTGTTTTATTTATTTTTTTCAGATTCAAACAAACAAACATCCTTCGTTATCTACATGTAGATGATCTAAGGGAATGTTGCTATTAGTTTTACATGACATGATCAAAGCAATTATCACAGAGAAGTCTGAAGTCTAATGGGGCACAAACTGAAGATGAAAGAAGAAAAAATAGACAGTTTCTGTTGCTGTACTCAGATGGTTGGTGTTAATTTTTGTAATGGGGAAAAAAAAATGAAAGAAAGAAGAAAGCTATTTAATTTCTATTTTCCAGTATCAACCCTGGAGTTGGACTCAATGATGCTGATGGGTCCCTTCCAACTTGAGATATTTTACGATTCTATTAAAATGGCAGTGGTGAACTCCAGGAATTGAAGGAGATATTTTCATCAAACTATAGAGGTTGGAGGTATTAACACAATGGGTTTGAAACAACATGAAATTGTTCATATGGGAAACAGAAGAGATATACAGAACAAGATAAAAGAGTTATGGGCACAAAGGTAACAAGGAGATTTCACTTAATATGCAGGATATATGAATTCACTAATGTGACAGTGATTTAGGAAAATTATTTGAACAGTAGCGTTTTAGATACTGCGGCAGGCAAATTCAGTTGGACACAGAAGACCTGGAAGTGATTCACGGGTAGTGATTATTAGGGGAAAACAAAACAAACAGAAAATTGGGTAGAGAGATTTCTATTACACAGCCCTTCCTGTAATTTATACTACCCCTGTTTTTGTGTTTTCTATTCACAAACAGAGAGAATCTTATTAAACACGGAAAACTGAATCAAAAGCTGAAAAGGCTCAATTTTTCATCTTTGCAAAGCAGCTAGCTGTGGCTTTCCTTATTTTTGTTTTGGAGACAAGAAATAGAAGAATATTTGAGGTGCTTTTTTAAAATATAAGTCAGCTAACACATGAAGTTCGCAAGGAAAATATGTCCAAGTATAATTAATGCCATCCATATAATGTCAGGGTCTTTTTAATGTGTAAGGTGGCATTTTCTTTTTCTGTACCTTGGCGAGCAGTTACTATCATTACATAGAGAAGTCATAGAGGAACCAATGTAAGCATGCATAACCAAAATAAGAACATGAAGGTGAAATGTCTGGAAATACTCACCACAGTAGAAAAGTTTCTCATCAGACTTGTCCTTACAATGAGCAATGCCATCACAAGTCAGCTGATAATCAATGCATTCACCATTTCCACATTCAAACTCAGAATAAATGTTGCAAGTAGAATTTTTAGCTAAAAATAAAACACATCAACATGTAATTTTTAATAGTTTTTTACTCCTAGTGAAAATGAGAAAAATGTTGTTTGCATTTAAAACATCTCTTATGCAGTTTTTGAAAACCTAAGTATGAAAAAACCCCTGCATGCAATCAGAACTTAAAAGCTTCTACAAAGTGGTGGTCTGCAAGACTGCTATACCTCTCTGGAAATCCTTTGATACTGCGCAGGATTGACAAGAGATATTTAAATAGCAGACAATTTTCAGGAATTTTATGTTGGGATGAATTCCAAACCAAGGTAAGAGAGACTCAGTAAAACAAAACCAAACCCAACAACAAGAACAGCAAACCAGCCAAGTATTGATGAAAGAACATGTAGGGAAGCTACTTAAAGGCAGCGATTTGGATAAGATGATGACGTTGTAATCACTGTACTAACATGTCTTCTGCCCACACATCTCTCCCATCCTGCATGCAACTGTTTCTTAACGGATGTTTAAAAAAACCCTTTTCAACTCCTTAACATAGCACATTCAAAAGCCAGAAGCAAACGCTCACCATTACCTAGCAGTTAATTTGAACCCTCAGCTTGTTTAGTGGCACTGTGCAGCTGCTCAGCGTGTAACCAGGTACCAGTATCAATGTACTACACCCAGCGTTGAAGTTATAGCCTAACGCCCACTGAACAAAACCTGCTGTTCAAACTTCACTTAGTTATTTTTATTCAGCAAAAAATGATTGGTAGACATGTAAATTTTTTGTGGTTTTGCCTTCTCAGAGTGGTTGTTTTACCTATTACTTTAGAAGATAACAAGATGTACATTTAATATTTTGACTCCTGCTTTCTCTTGCATATAGAGTTTCTAATAGTTCAAGTAGAAACGAAAAATGAATCACAAAGTTTTTGTGTGGTTCTAAACAAAATTTCAAACTTGGGAGAAAGAAGAAGTACATAAAACTACTCAAGAGGAAGAATAGAGAAAAGATACCTAATTATTATGTTTTTTCCTATTTCCATTATAATTATTCAGCCCAATTTCAGAAATAATTGATGTGTGCTATATGCAAAAGTCAAGCTAATATAAATTGAAAAGATTTCTTGATTTGATTTAAACATAAAGAAAAATACAAAAGAGGTAATGAAAATATATTCTGGATGAGGTGAAACTTGATCTTGAATATGATTTATGAAGTTCTTCAAACTTTATTCAAGATTATTGCAGCTTTTCTTTTTCTCTCTACCCCCCCTATCTTTTAGCACTGTACAAACATATCTTAGGAAAAGCAATTCTCAATTAAATTTGTAGTTCATCTAGTTCAGCATCTTAGACCACAATCTTTAAAGAAAGGTGGCCAAAACCAAAAATTTAGAAATCAAAATGTATATATAGCGTAATATGCTCTCAGCTAAAGCCTAACCAGAAACCCTTGTAGAGAGATTGCTTCAAACCCCAACTTTCAGAAACAAAGCATTTTAATGCCTTTTGAAACTTTTTATTTGATCAGAAATAAGTAGTCTGGGTAGCGTTATTACCCATATACTCACTCAGACTCTCTTTGAATTTTACTAAAGCTTTGTCTCAAGAATCTCCACTGGCAGTAAGTTACAGACTCTAACTACACTTTGAAAGGACAGTTAATTCCTTTTCTCAGTTGGAATTGCTAACTTTCAATTTATTGAGTACTCCTTTCAAGTGCGTTATGCAGAAAGAAACGTCTGATCTCACAGTTACATTACAAAGTCTTGTTTCCATCCTTCCTGTGCTACTCAACCCCAACGTTAATCTCTAAGTCTTTGGGTTTTGGTTGTTTTTGTTTGTTTGTTTTTACTAAAAACTCGATCAACCTCTCCTGAAAACATTCAACACAACAGTTTAGAAGACAGAACTTTACATCATGATCTAGATGAGGATTTTAGCACTGGTTTACGTAATAGCAATTTTAAGATTTTTAATGCTTTTGGAAAATATAAATGCCAAACAATATTATTAAAAAAACATCAGACCTATGAATTTGTCTGCTTTCACTTCCACTGCTGATCACTGCCTTGACAAGGTAAGGAAACAGGTGAGAAAAAGTGCTTTAATTAAGGTTAACTGCAGTAACTCATCTGATGCTAGTCCTAGACAGACCCAGGGCATGAATGTAGACACTTTTATCAAACTCAGTAGCAATTATGATAGACGTGTAAAAATCCTAACTACTACTAATAAAGTAGTATCTTACTACCATAAGAGCAATTATGCTTTTTATCTTGGTTGTGGGTTTGTTTTTTTTTTAACCTCGTTGGGATCTTTCTCTCCCACCTCCAAATGAACTAGGACTTTTATTGCGTTCATGCAATGAGTTAAAATCATTACAGGAAATACATAAAGTCCATTACATTTAATGAAAGTAAAATGAAGATCAGTGAAAAATTCGTCTTCTTACTGATCTGGTAACATTGTCCCTGCTCACTGCAGGGGTTGGACTGGATGAGCTTTAAAAGTCCCTCACAACCCAATACTTTCTATGATTCTGTGATTCTATTGCTCCAAACATTAAGAGCTCCAACTCTTTTTTTGTATTTTCTCTGATTCTAATTAACCTCAGAAACTAAACTGATTATGATTTAATACCTTAACCAAGCACTGAAAAGCCTTTTGACCTGCTACAATTTGATCCTGCCTTCTTTATCAGCCACTGAGGTCTCTGGAATGATCAAAACCAATAAAACCTGACAGTGTGGGAGGGTGAAATAAGGTGATTATAATAAGCCTGGTGACAATATTCCATCTGCAGGAAGCAGAAACATTTGGCTGTAGTGGAAAATATCCTTTTTGTAAAGTAGTGAAGACTTAATTAGTATCTTTGAACCATTAACATCATGGTTACATTAATAACATGCCTGTCCATACAATCTCAGTTGATCACTGTATTCTGTTATTAGACTAAAAGTCTGCTATTCTAAAACAGTGTTATAGTTTAAATTGAAATCTGTATCACTGCAAATCATCTGTAAAGTTCATTGTATCTCAATTATACAGTTAGACAAAGCAGTTTCTGAGTAAGAGCTGTAAATGTAATACAGGTTAGTCATACACTACTACTGCAACTTGACTCTAGACTTGCTGTATATTCACTGAAGTGAAGGGTAAGACTTTTAACCCTTATACTTTATATATTTAACTACAGAACCAGGTCTTTTGTGAAATCTATGTAAAATTTTAGTTAACAACTGACAACAACATGTATGTGTGAGCTGAAGGTAAAGGTGGAAGGTGAAGTGTGTGAAAGTACAGAATAAAACTGTAGCAACCCACTATTTGTTTGTGACATGTTGGTAGCTCCTGTATGATGATACTATGTCCATAATTAATGCATGCATCTGGTTTCATTTAACAGCAGTATTTTAGGAAATTAAGCAAGAGACAAAGCTATGGATCCAAAATAAACATGGCAAAAGGAATTTTAGGATTAAAAAGCAATTAGCTTGGTACAGCTAAAAACCCACTACAGGCTCCTCACAAAGCCATGTAGCTGAGCCATCAAGCCTAAGAATCTGATCCTAAAGGACTGGGGTCCAGCCCTAAAAATGCCTCAACCCAATTTAAAATCACATCAATACTTTAAGGTGTAATTCTAACCTTCCTCTCATCACAGTCTCGTGTTCTCTCTTGTTCTCTTTAACTGACTCTAGTGATCTTGCAGTGTCAACTTGAATGAGCTCTGCTCACTGATCCAACTAAAACCAGGTCTAAACCAAAAAAATCCTGACATTCCCAGTCAAGCAGTTAGTTAAGTCATCATTCAGCTACACAGCTGTTACTGCTGATGAAAGGCATAGGGCAGGAGGGAGAATAACTGTCCTGGTTTGAGCTGTCCTTTGCAGAAGCACGCTTCTTGTTCTTTGACTGATCACAAAACAACAGTATTCTTTTCTGTTATGAAAATACTGATATGAAAATACTATTGACACATATGTACCAGGAAAGCCTAGAATCATCCTAGTATGAGAAATATCGGTGGCATGACCAAAATAAACTCTGTTAGTGAAGGGGTAGGTTTGCAAAATAACCAGTATGGGTATGTCAATGAAGGACTGCAACTCTTCATATCCCACACCAACAGCTCTGCATGTACAGAGCAGCATTTCAAAAGATTCTGTATCTGCAGAAGGGAAGCCATTGGTTAGGCTGCTCAGGAGAAAGAGGCTGCCACAGAAGAGTCTGAACAGAAACTGTCTAAGCTTCTAGCAGGACGGCAAATCTTGCTAAATCACATACAAAATTTAAAAATAATTTTTCTTCAGTGTTATGATGTGTGCCTCTACTGCTGTGATAAAAAAAATTGATCTAGAGAAGGAAACTGAAGCAGCATAACATGCACACATGGCAGATAGATATGGAAGTGGAGAAAACATGATCTAAGAGTTGGAATTTCTGCCCTACAGAGGTAAAGGTCCAATAAACCACAGGAATTTGGAAGGGGTCTCTAACAGTGACAGAAGCGCTACAATACAGTGACATTACCAAAGACATAAGGAACTAAAGGCTTGCCCCCCAGCTTTCCCTCCTCTCCAAATCCAGACAGCTACACTTGATGAGGGGAAGAGGCATAAAGTCATGTTCCACATCACGAATGTGGGTCATGCCTGGGGAAACACTCCAAAGCTTTTCACTGCTGCTAAGGCATAGCATTAGCAAAGTGACAGAGATTTCCTCCAAATTATTAGAATAGCCAGAAGAGTGCAGAGTGTCTGTGTGTATATATATATCTCTATCTCACATACTCCCAAATTACCAACACACGCTTGCATGTTCGTAAACATCAATTCTGCACAGGGACTGTGTGATCTAAAGAAGCTGCAATGGATGACCAAATATTCTGAACCACTTCTGAACTACAGATAAATAGTTATCTCACACTTTCTTTATCATGTGCACATATATAGATATACTGGTTCAGAGGAAGTATGGGAAGATGTCAGGAGAACTCCGAGCAGTGTCATACCAAATGTTCTCCAAGAAAACCAGCTTCCAAGGAATTTGCCAACTTAAAAGCGATACATTCATCAATCACTAAAATATCAATTCCACACAATTAATCACAGCAGCTGGTTAATAAGCTACAATTACTTTAAATGTCTTAGGACATGAAATGAAAATATTTGTACTCAACAGAATCAAAGTGCAAATACAAAATGTTCAGAAGAACACAACTACCCAAACTGGAATTTAAGGAGAGTGTAAGTATTCATGTTTTTTAAACCCCACAAAAGCCTTATAAGACATAAAAGCGTGGTATGTGCTGAATTGCCAGAACAATTTTTACAGTATATAGAAGCAATAAAATTAATGGCTTGGGCCAACTGTCTTTGCTTATGACAGCCAACAGCACCACAGCATAGAAAAGCATTATGTCAGCTAGTATTACTTACTCACACATCTGTTATCATCTATCAGTATTCTGTCGCCTCGACACGAACAGTTCACTCGTCCGTCAGGAGTCAGAAGGCATAAATCATGACAACCTCCATTCATTTGTGCGCAAGGAGATAACTCACCTAAAAACCAAATGATAAAAGATGAACTCTGTTTTATTAAATTTGCTTCAATAGCCAATGTCTTTGAGAAAGCAAAGGTCACCGTATCTCAGAATCATGGGCAATTGATTCAAGTTTTATCAGTTACATGAAAATGTCAGCATGCCTCAGATACTAGCATAGTAAAAATAAACAGAGTTACCTTGAATATAATAATTTAAAAACCCCACAACATTCAAAACTGCTGATATTTAGCAGGAAATTATTTAACTGCTATCAAATGAGCAAAATGTTCACAGCAGAAAATGGTCATTCAATAATATTTATTTACTTGGGGAAGAGGTTATATCTCATCTCCTCTTAACAGTTCCTCCAACAAAAAGAATTTATGAAACAAAGTGTTTTAAGTTGGTTAAAACTAAGCAAAATTTTTACAATGAATGATATTGGAATCAACAAAATAGTGTATCTTGCTTTGTAACTTACAGCTGTTAGTATCATTGGCAACAGCAATAATGCCCATTGGCTGATGCGGGATATCAGAACGAAGAACTTTTGTATCTCCTCCTGTGTATTTACTGGAACGCAGAATAGCTCTCCTCACTCCATCTGACCAGAAGATATAATCATCGTACACAGCCAGGCTGAGAAAGGTGCCTGGTCCCGATTTGACAATCACCTGAAGTACATAAATCCAGAAGGGAAACATGAGAAGGAATGTTGACACCGAATAAGGACTTGCACAAACTATGACTCACATCACTTCATAGATATAGACAAAACACTTAATTCTTCTATACTCACAATACCTGGAAAAATGAGATAATAGTATTTAAAATATGTTTCAAGAATGCTACAAAGGTTCACTTATTATGTACTGATACATCCAAGTCTCAGAAATGCAGGCATCAATTCCTGAAGTTAAAACCCACAGTTTATCTAAATGCGTTTGTAGAAATACCTTCCCAGCACACTACCTGCTTAATACCCTAAACAGAACTGAGGAGAAGAGGTACTGTAGCATGGCTGGAAGTCTAAAATTGTGAGTCTTCATGAATCAATGCCAGAACTGAAAAGCATTCCCCACTATGATCACAGTAGAAACTTCAACCCAATACAAGAAATGTTATGTAGGCTTTTTCCAATTAAAAAAAAATAAATCCTCAGTCACCATAAAAGTTATCAGGTTTAAAACCTAGAAAGAAAACAGGAACTGCAGTTCATGATATAGTAGGGTTTGAATCAAAACTGCAAGAATACAAGTAATTTAATCTCACTCTGAATCGCAGCTCCTCTAAAATATTTTCATATATGTTCTTTCTTTCCTTGTATCAGAATTAAATATTTAATATATACCGTTTCTGTTCTAAAGAATATAATAGATTTGGCCAACTTTACAGTCCTTTAGCATTCTAGTTTACAGACTAATATTGAAAATGACTGACAATTGACTATTACTAAAAAATCTTGATAGCACTCCTGGATGATCAGAATAACAAAAAATGAAAGACTTCTTTAATAGTCTCTTCATCCTTTGGTTATCTGCCAAATCTTGTTTAAGTCCTGATGATTCGGTGTCAACCAAATTAGATGTGTATCAAACCCGTGGTAAGTCATCTATGTTTCTAAACCTTGTATTCTGTACAGCTTGGCTGTTCATTTTCCCAGCAGCGTACACAGCTCTGGACAGAGACACCTGCAGATTCACCAGCAGGATCATACAATGAAAATTCTGGGTTTTACACTGTGACCCTATTTAAATCCTCCCTGGGTGGCCCCATCTGGCTGGCCTAGGAGGTGTAGGAAGTACAAAAGAGTCTGCCCATTGCTTCCTTTTTTCTTGCTGATTGCTCATCTCTAAAAAAAATAATGATGGTAGCCAATGTAAGCACTTTACAGGTTTATTCCTCTGAGTTATTGATAGTAATCTATCTGATAAGCTTTGGATCAAGACATAAGATGACCGCTGCAGTCTTTCAGGGAATGCACATACCCAAATACATAACACAGGGAAGAAAGCCAACGCAGAATCAGTTGAATCATCACCATTCAACCATAACAAAAATCACGTTTTCAAACTTGTAAAAACTCCAGAGTAATCAACCCATAGCAAATTTTCTATAAACTGTGGCTAGGTAGCAGCAAATGACCCAAAGCAGTGCTCCCACTTACGAGAATGCATGCAAAAACCTCTTTACATCTCCCATCTGGAAGAACAATATCAACACAAACATAATGCCCAGTTAATCCACAACCATAAAACTGCAATATATGCTGCCTGTTGGTGCATTAAGGTTGCGTCAACTGTGCTGGAATCAGCGAGCCATCGTGTAAACTGCATCAGAGGAAAAAAGGCCACAGTTCTGTAAGAAACTGAGCACCTATGTTATACAGAGTATCATACGTGGAATAGCTTTGTAACACGTGCAGACAACATACAGGTAAAGAGAACCTCAACCATCAAATTTAGTCAAGCGTAATACGGAATACAATGTCACAAATTTAATTCACAAAAGTCACATTCATGCACTCCCAAAAACTACTTCAGTACTGTATAAATGTTTAAAGACCTTTACTACAAAGGACAGAAACTGCCAAAAAGCACCCTGTGCCACAGGGAAAAAAAAAAAAGAAAAAAGTAAGAATAATTATGGTCATCAGCAATGTTTTTGGTCAGAGAAGAGGGAAATGTGGTATTGTCCTGCTTTAAGCTAAAGCAGGAACTAAATAGAACTAATTTTCTATTGAGTGATTTGACTTTTCAGCTCAGACTCTTTTAAGTGGCTGAACTTGCTGAAAACCAGCAGCATGTTTTTCCCAGACAGTGTGAACTGATAAACTCAAGGCCAAGTTGTCTCACCATGGGTGCCGTGTCTGCGTCTACATGGGGGGGAAGCAGATCCCAAACTGACCAGTTAGGTATTCCATCCCACATACGTCATACTCAGTGTAAAAGCTGAGGGATCACGAGGGTATGGACCCTTCCATCTGTCTCGACTCCTTCAGTGGCTGAAGTCTGAGCAGAACCCTGCTGGTTCATTTGCCTCTGATCCTGATCCCTGTGTTCCTGCATCAGCTCCCACTGCTGCTGAGTTTGGTCTGGGACTTTTCCAGTGCCCTGCTCTGCAGAGCCTCCAGTGACGTATATGTTACTGGGGGGAAGGTGGGGGGAGGATTTTATATTGGTTTTGTATATATTTGTACATATTTGTATATATTTCATTATTTTCCTATTTACATTATTATCCTGTAGTATTAGTATTATTATAGTATTAAATGTTAGTTTTATTTTCCAACCCATAAAGTCTCTCTCCCTTATTCTCTTTTCTCTTCCCTCTTCTTCTGGGGAGGGGAGAGGGTTTAATAGAGAGCGTCTGTGCAGGATTTAGTGGCCAGCCCAGCTCTAAACCACGACAGGTACTGAATGAATGTGCACAAATTGGAAAAGTCATATTTTATCATGAATCTAAATTCTTACCAAAAATTCCAGCATTACATGCACAGTCTTAAACCATTAAGTAAACTTGAACAAGACATCCCCATCATCCCTTCCACCTGAACAGCAGTCTGACACAGCCAATAGCACATCATGTGTTTTAATACCGAATGATACAGACATGCAGTTACCGCGGGTACGTCAAGCTCTCAGTAACAGATAATAAGTTTTCTCTGCTTCCTGTAAAGACAGAAGGAGACTGGGAGAGGAGCGTCACAAGCAGCAGGGCAATTTAATCTGAACTATGATCCTTTCTTTTTTAACTTCTGATTTTTAAGTTCTCCTGACAGCTCTTTTTCTAACATATAGGTGCTCTCAATCTGAGATACGTGTAGCAGTTTCTCTAGAAAAACGTGGCTGAAAACGGGGAGGAGCCAGTCAGGTAGACAAGAATTTGTGCCATAATACTGTAATTTGAATGATTTATATCAAACTCTTATTAGATTTTCTGTAAGAATTAGATTCATAACAATTCTTACCATGACAATGCTTGACTTCTATAGAAATACAGTTTTGGGTTTTTTATTTTTTTAAAGATGAGTGCAAAAAGTTACTGCATCAGCTTAATATATGAGTTGCTTTCAAGTATTTTAACTCTAATGAATGGCTTGTTAATAATACTTCTCTTTCAAAATGCTTAATAAATGGGCAGTGGCATCTAACAAAGCTTTTAAAAGTTTTTGAAGAGCTCTTTACTCTTCTAAAGATACCCAAACCTACTTAGAGGTCTATAACTAGTAGAAAAAACTACACTTAAAAAGGTTAAAATGACAATTTAAAGTCAATAGCATAACAAAATCATTCCACAAGTATAAATAAGTATCAGTAATCTAAAAATAAGTATTTTAAATGAATATCAGAAAGCTCAGTTTGACAGAACCGACTTACACAGAACACCACATTAATCAAAATTAGCTGATATATTTTATTCCTGCAAATGGAAGACATAAAATAGTATGTTATATTTATTATTAATTTTATGAATACTGTTTTTAAAAGAGTACAGACAAGGAGTTTATGGAAAAAAAAAATATATGACACTGTGATACAGGGAAACCCATTCCACAGCCAGGGGAACAAAATAAAATATTCTAAGTCATCCAAGGGGACCTTAGAGTGACCCTCCAGTACCTGAAAGGTGCCTGTAAGAAATCTGGGGAAGAGCTGTTCACTAGGGCATGTAGCAGTAAGACGAGGGATAATGGTTTTAAACTAGAAGAGGGTAGATTTAGGCTGGGTATTAGGAAAAAGTTCTTCACTATGAGGGTGGTCGATCAGTGGCACAGGCTGCCCAGAGAGGTGGTGCAGGCTCCATCCCTGGAGATATTCAAGGTCAGGTTTGATGGGGCTGTGAGCAACCTGATCTGGTACCAATGTCCCTGCTCACTGCAGGGGGGTTGGACTGGATAAGCTTTAAAGGTCCCCTCCAACCCAATACATTCTATGATTCTGTGACTCTGTTACTTCTATGTATTTGATTTAGCCACCTAAAGAAGATACACTAAGATCAGACTCCTTGTTTTGCTTGCTATTGATGCGACTGCTTTAATAAAAATGCTATCTCTTCCTGGATAAACAAATCTAGCAGCCTTGAGCTGGAGCATTCAAATTCTGCCCTTCCAATACTGCACTGTTATTAAGACAAAAATCTTATGTTAACCAGAATAAAAGCAATTGTGGGGAGGTGAGGTGGTGGTAGGCAGGAAGATTAAAGACAGAAGAAGGATGAAATTTTAAGCTGAAGAGAACACTTGTGACTTCACCAATTTCTCATTCCTGTTGCCACAAAAGATAGAGTGATTTCTACTCTAGGTTTCTGTTGGGTTTTGTGGAAGAACTGTGCCAATCACTGCTATACCCTTCTAAAAGTAGTCATCCTTTTTGTTGACTGGTCTGAATGAAGACTTTGTTTTCATCATTGTCATCGTGGATTGTCTTTTCATTTACTGTATCTTTCAAAAATACCTTCAGAATAACTGGAATTGCAATTCCTTATCAAAGGATACAATGGACATACTAGAAAACCACGTTTTCCAAGAACAGCAAGGTGCTGTTTCCAGAGAATTGTCCAAGTGCGATGTAACAAAATCAGAAGTGCTTCCTCTGCAACAATTTATTTTTGTTTCTCTGTGCTAGAAATGATCATTTAAGAGACTGAAAACCAACTGCACTGCTAAATTTGCAGTATTCCAGCTGCTGCTTAGATCTGCAGTTCAGCTGAATGATATATAAAGCAGTTGTTTGTAATAGGCCTGTACTTTTCAGTGCCATTCAGATGAAAAGTATGTATTTCTGCAAATAAAATTGATATTAACCAAATCTTTGCAACTACATGCATATTAATTACACAATAGTTAATTTCAACATCATAAATGACAAAGACAAACTTCATCTAATGTTACGTTTATTTCAGTTTCCTAGAATTTTGTAGGATCCTGAGGTATTATAAATAATCTTATTTTCCATAGCCTTGGAGATTATTTGAATCTTTTCATTAATTGCTTCTTTCAGTTAATTTCTACCAGGCTACCAACTCTGGACATCCAAGATATTTCAGCACACAGTCCAAATCTAACAGTGTTGGATCTGTGTCAATCAGCTACCGATCTTACACAGATTAGAGGATTTGTTGCCATAGGTTAGGGAATCACTTTAATTAGGTTCGATCTTAGCATTACTTTACAGAACTACTCAAAGCAAGCAGCTCATCAATGTCAATGGAGTGAACTCCTTAGAAAAACAATTAATTAGGCAAGGCGGGCATTTCACTCTTTGTGTTGGTCCTGGACATCTTCAGACAAATATTAAAGGGAAACATAGACATCTGGAAAGTTTAGAAACAAAGACTCTTTGATCAGATTTGCAAGAGAAAAGAATCAAGAACAGAACATCTCCACTACAACTAACATATTTATACTGCTGGACAGAGAAAACTTAAAAATCCACCACAACTTCCCTGCAGTACCACTAATTTCCAACATCACCCACACCATTCTAGTTGCTTTTCAAACACAAAAAGGATGAATGAATTAAACATTTTAGAACCTAATGATAAACTACAATAGGGGGAATAGGAGCAGCAAAACATGATGAACTTAAATGTCTAGGTGGTAAACTGTGCATGTTGTGCTAGAAGTATCATTTTTTTCCCAGCATTTCTTGTTTCTCTACTGTTATTGCTTCTACTGCTGTTTAACAAAATCACAAGGAACCAGTAGAAACTGATGAAATAATTTCTCTATGGAGAGTAGGCTCAATTTTTTCTTTTCTAGACAATCATCCAAGCTTATTAAAATATTTGCCTTCTAGTTGACATTATTTTGGGTTAGTTTTCACATGTGAATATTTATTGTTATACAGACAATACATCAATGCAATCTTTCAAATCAGAATCACATTCAGGACCTGCATATTTTTGTTCACATCTCTCTTAGTAAGATTCTTTTCTAAGACTTTTTAGCACATTCTGATTTTAATGGGGTGAGATTCTACACTTCTAACACTTTGCATCCTTTATCTCTGTTCCAGCAACCTTGGCCGATCTCACTTATCCTGCCTTAGTGAGCTATTCAGCCACTTCTCAATGTAATGTTCACGTCACCATGAATACCTTCTAAGAATTGACCAAAAATTGGCCAAAATTACTCTGCAGTCCTCAATAATACTTGTAAATATACAAATAAATATAATGACATGTCTGAAAAGTAATGAGATCTGAAAAGTAAACAGATCTGATAAAACATTACAGAAGAAAACAGAAGTTGAACACCAACTTCAGAACTTCTTTAATTGTTTAAATACAGAATTCCAACAGAACAAAAACATATATTCTAGAAACTGAAAGTTATAATTACCAGAAGGTTGCAATTACATGAGGGTTATAATTACTGATGACACCCTTAAAACCATACTGAATTTAGCAATCACACCTATAGACCTAAAAAACCATAACTAAGACCGAAACATTTCTAACATTCTAAACCCGAATGTTAGAAAACCAGACTTATGTTTACAGGAAAGTTAAATATATTTCTAGATTCTTGCTATGTAAAGTGTTACAGAATCGCCAGCACTGAAGAATAAAAGGCAGAAATCAAAAGGGCTTATGCTTTATTGGAAAAGTAAGTCCAAAACACAAAATCAGCTTTATTTGCTGTTGGTTCAGTCTTTGCATTCATGAACAAAATGTTGTAACTAAAGCACAATACAGCTAAAACCAGCTCTGGCCACAACATTAAATCCAACTAAGGACAGAAGCAAGAACAGAAAAAAAGGGGAAAGGATTGTGAAAAAAACAAACCAACCAATTGCCATTGTTGCTTTTTAAACAGGAAGAGCTGACAGAAGAGAACAAAACAAAGGTTTAAAAAATTCCCCTGTATATCATCTAAGTAATAAAAAGGAACAAAAGGAACAACAAAATTCTTCCAAACTTGAAAGAGTGCTCCAACAACCAGATACTAGTATTAAAATACCAGCCTAACACAAAATCAATAATCTTGTACAATCCACTTAAAAGAGTCTATTCAATACTGCTAAACTATTTTCAACCTGTTCATTGTACTAGATTATTGTGGTGAGTGGAATGAAGAAAGAAGACGCTACCCTGCAAGAAAATCCATTAGGTTGCATTAGCATTTCATGTTCTACTGTACAATTTCTACCTTTGTTAACATAATAGAAACCAGAAATCAACGAAGCAGAGATAGTGAGAAAAAGCGTAATCTATTTAAATTGTTTTTGAGAGGTGGCTGATGGCAAGACCTTCCTGAAACACCTTAAAGAGCCTCAGATCACCAGAACATCAGAATGATTATTACTTCTATCATCCCAATGTTACAGAAACCAGAGATCTTGTCAAGCTGGTCAGGACATGAATGACGAAAACCAACTGCCCTGGAAATCTTATTTCACTAGATCAATATTACAATTTCATGGTTGGATTCTGCATTCTTGTATCAGTAAGAATGCATCTGCGTGGTGATGACCACCTCTGCTGAAGCACTGCTTGTGAGACCAGTACACTTTAGGTGCAGATTTGAATGAAGCAGCCTGCTGGGTTTTTCTCTGGCATGACAATCCCCATCTAACTGATGCAGGAAAAGTGCCTGAGAAGCAGAATTTAAGGAAAACATCAAATGGCAGAAACTAAGCAGAGATCATTTGAACTAGTTATATTCCTTTGTAATTTAAGTAGAAACTCCAAGATCATTGCATACAACCTAGTTCAAACATTTCATTATTTATATTTAGTAATATGAGAGATAGAACAATTCTGCAAATACTGTTGAGCTGTTATATGATTCAATATAGATCAGGAACATCGTGTGCTGTTCTGTTACGTTGTCTGACAAAAGATGCAGCAGTAACTGAAGGACATACAGATCTAAATTATAGGAAACATTTTTAAAAGTATGACCAGAATTTAAATTAAAAAAGTAAATACAGGTTTTGTACAACACTTAGAATCAAGATATAATTAAAGGATAAAAACCAAGGAATAAGTATGAAAGAAGGAAAGATAGTAATTCCATTTTAATTTCCTAAATGACAGAAAAAACACCAAACAAACCCAAACCAAACAACCAAAGAAAACCACAAAACTGCCTTCTGTATATTATTCTCAGATACACAGGTGGATTCACTGAGCAAAAAAACCCAAGAAAATCAATCCATTTTCACAGCTATTACAGAGTCAGAAATTGTATACCTTAGAAACCACAGAGCTTTGTTTTTTCCAGTTTCTGATATAGTTATGGCATCTGAAAACATTAGTGAGCTGTGGTTAATTTATACAAATAAAAACCAAAGGAGAAAGGAAATGATGCAAAACCATATGCCTAGTATGCTGATTTTACTTCTGCTGTTACAAGCTTGGCTCTCTTATTTTGCTCTGAGAAGGAAATTTTGGCTAAACAAAGCATACGGAAGTTCTCCTGGATAAGATTCCAGAAAAACATGCAACTCTCATTCAAGATGCACAAAGGTTCCAAAGCTTTCATACACTATAAAGCAATAACAAATGTAAAAAACACCCAGATTTACAATGAAAATGATTGAGATTTCTGTTTACTTACGTATCTTTGTGATCCGTCATATTCACACCTCTCAATTTTTCCCAAGCTGCCATCTGAAAAGTAAAGTTTCTCCGCCCTATGATCAATGGTAAGTCCATTTGGTGTCAGAATATCTGTGCTAACGATAACCTGTGCATTTTTGCCTGAGAGGGTAGATCTCATGATGCTTGGGAGCTGCTCATTCCAGTTAGTCCAAAACATTAGGCTGTATTAAAATCAAAATAACAAACAAAACCATAAGATACATTTTATAATTTAATTCTCTATGAAATGAGTAACAGAAAAAACACATGCCTTTATAGACAATTATGAATGGCATCTGTAAGTAATTGCGATAATCAATGGTGAACAGGAAAACGTGATAGGGAACATCCTATAAATTATAGCAGTTTCCTACCTCATTAACTTGTACACAAGTACAGATTTTTTCCTCTTCACAGGTCTGTTCAATTCTGATCATGACTCTATACTAATATACCATTACAGATAGCTATAAGCTGTTTAACAATATCAACTTAATTCTGCTAATGAGTATATTAGTAATTTCTAACAGAGAAATTAATCTGCTGCTTTTTCCCCGTACAGATACAGACCAAAGGACTGGTATGCAGAAGGATGATCATGGGGAATCAAGGGACCTCAATATGCTCTACAGCCCCTTGCTTCTGTTAAATAACGGTGGCCAAAATGAGCTGTGGATGTAATTTATACCCTGATCAGAACCTGCCCATTCTCTCACTGCCACCTACATCAGTATTTAGGTGGTTTATTTATGATACCTAGATAAACAGTATTTTAGAATACACCACAACCTCTTAATAATTTGCATAAACTGTACGTGAAGTCACACATGGAAATAACCTCCTTGACTACCCATGCAACACTGTAGGTTCAGCTATCACAAATTACAAGTAGAACATAATAGGGCAGAAATCTAGCCTAGTTTTCCCAAAGGGAAGGCAATTACAAGAAGCAGAAAAAGCCTTTCTTTCAGAATTAACAGAGAAGATTAAAGTAACCCAAATGTTAAGACACTTATTAGCAAAAGGCTGAAGTAGAAATATAAGCCCTCCTATTATCTTCCTAGGAAATACAGCTTTCTCAAGAGTGGCAGGAAGAGAACTAAACCAGACTTCTGTCTAGAATGTTGTCCACAAGCACCGTAAATGCGCATCTCTTGTTATATCATTTTATACAATACTGATCTCTGTGATAAATACATGAACACATTAATTGGCCACATAAGAAATTCAGATTCCTTTTCATAAAGGCTTACATTAATTCTGTTTTAACATAGGCAACAAGAGTAACACATGGGACAAAAGAAGTCAGTAAAGTGATTGCTCTTGATAATTTGCATTTAGCAAATCAACTTTTCTCTAAACCAGCTGGAATTTTTAATATTGTAATTATTATTAGATCTAAAACATAAAATCATAAAATATTGTATCTTAAATCTGCAATTGTTTTAAAAAAATTAATACTAACATTTGTCTCCTAAATGAAGAAATCCACTTAATTTGATAGAGATCAGCAGTGTTAATTGACTGTGAAATAAAGGAGCGCTGCTGCATCCTTGACATTAGGCAAAATCTAAAATCTGGTAAGAAAGATATAATACATACTTTTGACATTCGTCTAGAGCTAACACGTGTGGGTGATCATCTTCAGACATTGTTATTACTGCTTCCCGGTTGAAAGCTCCTCGACGCCTCTGGTCAACAGTGTGCCTGGTGATGGAGGATGTGGTTGAGCTGGTCCAGTAGAGAGTGTCCCAAGCTCTATGATAAGCAAGTCCTTCCACCGACCCAACATCTGGAAGACATGGGTACAGATAGAGCAAATAAAACTCCTTGTAACAAGACATACGTTTTTCTTTTTCCTTGAAGTTGATCCTGCAGAATCACAGAGTAATTCAGCCTATCGACTCTGTCAATTCTTTTATTGTTTCACCCGCTTATGTATTTTATTGGAATCAAAGACCTATTGTTTAATAAATTTAAATTAAAAAACCCCCAAACATAGAGAGCAAGATCACTACCTATATCTCTGTACTATATTTTTCAACTCTACCACTCCTTAAATTAATATTTTTACTACAGTGCCCCTAGATAATACATTAGAAATAATAAGCATTTATTCAAGACAGCAATAATTTAGTCACAACTTCAAACATAATTTAAACCAAGTCTTGCGCATGTTTTCACTAATTACTTGTACTATTTAGCATTACCTTCCAATGTACCTCCTAACACAGATACACATTACATTAATAGGGATCAAAGTGTCCTGTTGTTATTAACTGTGCAGGCTTTTTTTAAAAACCTGAACATTACTGAAAAAAAGACCAATTCTGAAGGTCTCAGCAACAATACATTGTTTTAATAAGCCACAATAGCACACTCTTT